CGGCCGCCTACCTGGCGAAGCCCCACGCGGCGCCCTCGGGCCAACGCCTCCGCCCCAGCCCGTGTGGACGAGACGCTCGGGCCCCCACGCCCTCCCTGTCTGGGACCCTCTGAAGGGTCCCCCGCCCAGCGGGGCGCCCCCACGCACCACCACGCATCTTCTCGAACACCAGGTAGAAGCGGTCTTCCTCCTCGAAGAACTCGATCAGCTCCAGCACGTTCCTGGGGAGCAGGAGAGAGGCGAGGCTGCCTGGGGCCCAGGGCAGCCACCGGCCCACCTGCCCCAGCGGCTGAAACGGGCTGTCGGCCAGCTGGCCTCGGGCCTCCCGCAGTGCCCAGCACAGGGCCTGGTAAACGGCGGGTGCTCAGTAAATACTTGCTGTGGACCAGCGGCACGCAGGTCCGTCCATCCCCTGGTAAGGTGGCCTGGCGAGGGCCGGTCCCCTCACCTGTGTCCCTGGCACTGATACAGCATTTCCACCTCCCGGAAGACCCGGCTCCGAATGTGGTCCAGCTGCTTCTCAATGATCTGAAACAGGTGGGGGGCACAGCCCCGGGGTCAGCAACGCCCCCAGGCCACGCCTGAAAGGCCACCCCCGGAGCTTAGGCCTTCAAGCTCCAGAAAGCAGGGCTGTCCTATGCAGCCCAGAATTTGCCGGAAGCCAAAACTTCAGAGTCAGCAGGGCCAGGAAAGAAAGGCAGAGGGAGCAGCCAGGCAGGGTCTCCCCCCCACCCCCCCGCCAGCCTCTGCAGAATGCCCCCACAGGGCATCAGGGTCCCCAGGGCAGAATGGCCTCCCCCCGTTGACCAGGAGACCAGCAGCTCCCACATGACCCGCAGAGGCCTCGGGGGCCTCGGCTGGCAGCCTGGCGTGCCCCACCTGCATGTGACAGCAGCACCGAGCCCCGCCTCCTGGCTCCATGCCAGCCCCCAGCCCACCAGGGCCCAGAGCCTCAGGAAGCCCACCTGAACCTCCACCCCCCTGCCCTCCGGAGGGTCCTGCCCCCTCCAGCCACCTTCACACACACAGAGCAGGGCTGGAGGTGGCACACTCTGGTGGCCCTCTGCCCCATGCCCAGGGCTCCCTGCCCACCGCAGTGGCCTGGTGGGGGGACGTGGTGTTCCACCCTCAAGCTCCCAGCTACTCTTACGCTGTCCCCCATGTCAAGTGACGAGCACACCCGCCCTGGCAAAAGGCCCCAGAAGCACCAGATGCCAGCGTCTCCTGAGACGCCACCACCTGGCAGCCCTCCAGACAGTCCAGGTCAAACCCAGCCGTGCCCCGCCCTTGGGGAGGAGAGCACAGTCCCTCCTGGCGAGAGGGAATTCCCTGAGGTCCCCCAGGTGGCTTCCCCAAGCGCAAAGGCCCCATGGCCCAATTCCCAGAGGACAAGACCTGTCCTCAAGCCCATGGGTGCAACAATCAGGCTGCTCTGCCCTGTCCAGCTGGCGTCCCAGCTTTCACCTCCTGGACTTCAGCAGTCAACCTCGACACCTCCACCGGGAAGCCCCCTGTGCTCCCCCCAGATGCCAGCACTGACCATCCAGGTCACAGCAGCCAGATGACCGAGGTGCCCCACAACTGCAGCCCAGAGCTTCCATGAGACCAGTGTCACCAGGCTGTGGACCCTCTTGAGGGTCCGTTCCCCTGTCTGTCCGACAAGGAAGGAAGCAGGGCGGCCCTGCAGGGCTGAGTGGCGGATCGTGCCGGGCAAAAGGGTCCCGCTGATGTCCTGTTTCCCCGTGCCCTCACCCAGTCGCACCTGGGAGGTCCGGGGGCCAGGGACAACACTGCTTTTGTCACTGCCCGCTACCCCTGTGGCCCCACTGCCTAGCCAGGGGCCTCCCCTGACTCCCAAACTCGAGGCTCGCGTCTCCTTGCTGGAACAGGCTGGTCACCTACTCCTTGGACGAAGACTTCTGGGAAAGAGCTGGCTGAAGCCACAGGTGGCCTGGACATCCGCCAGGGCCGAGTCTTCCGGCCAGCCCCACTCGCCAGGGGCACCTGGCCCTCCCAGGCAGCCAGCTCTCCCAGGACCCCGCCCAGCCGGGAGCCAGAAGCAGGTCACGCGGGAAGCCTGGAAGGTTTCTTTGCACACGGGGTTGGGCTGCTGGCTCCTCCACGAAGCCTCCGCTCTCAGACTCAGGCAGGGGGCTGCCGGCCCGCACCAAGGCCCCTTCCTCCGAGGGAAGCCCCCCGCTCTGGGCCACGCGTTCGGCTGTGGACTCCCAGGCGGCCGGAGGATCTCCCCTTGCACTTGCAGCCAGCGCCAGCACAGGCAGGCCTACCTTGACGGCGTACTCCTGGTTGGTGATGAGGTTGACGCAGGTCTGCACGCGCGCGTGGGCGCCCTCCCCCAGCACGTCCTCCTGCAGCTGGTAGACATC